TCTTTGTCTATATTCTTACCTGTTTCTGCTTCTTTCACCAATTGGTAAAGTCTCTCTATTGCCTGAGTGACTTCCATTTTTATGTCGGTCCTCAGGTTTCTAGAGTTGTTAAGATGTAGTTTGGCCTTTTGCAGACAGGCTCGAGCTTCTGTCAGGCGATCCGCATCTTTTGTTGTTTCGATTTTTGGTGAGCTGTCTGTGCTCTCAGCTACTATTTTACGGAATGTTCCTCTTGCGTCCTGGGATGGAAAAACTTTTTGTTTCTGTCGGGCCAATGGAGCCCTATTCGGGGAGGGTTGTATTCGGGGAGAGCTGTTTTACAGCTTCCGCGTCTATTTTGCCTGTTTCCCACTCACCGATACTTTTTCTCACACTAGGGGCCTGTGTTATTCGGTCCCTTTTAGTAGAAGGCCCTGCCTTCTCTATCCCGTTTGGTGATTCCTGAGGACTTTTGTCCTTGGCACTATCCTCGGTCTGTTTTGTGGGGGTGCGGAAGCCAAACATTTTGCCAAGAAAACGCGTTAGGTTTCAACAGTCAACAATAATAAAACTATAAATCAAGTATTTATGTCAATTAACTAAAGGTTTGTAAAAGTTTTAAAAATTTTTTTGTATCTATTTATGTACATATATATGTCAGTAATTTTTTTTAAAGTAAGATTATTTTAGTCTAAATGTACCTATATGACTCTATCTAGAGTCAGTCTGCAAACACTATTCCAATTTTAATATTATTAACTCTTCGATTAAGATACTTTAATATGTTAATATCTACTATGTAGATACGTCTATATTTGTTTACTCTATAACATATACAAAGAAATTAAATATATTATAAAACAAGAATTTCTAGAAGATGTATGCCTAATAACTTTAAAAATTTCCAAAAATATTCATTAAGAAGAAACTTACAGGCTAACAAATTATTGGCTCTACGTAGAGTCTATTTCTAAACACCAGCTAACAGCACTCCTCGAGCCCTATTCAAGGATCCCCAACTCGGTATAACTATCCCAATATGTTCCCAAGTTACAGCGCTTTCAAATAATGGTTTTCGAACAAGATGGCCGCCAAAATTACGGTTAATGCGCTGGAACTCCCGAACAGATGGGCCTACAGCTCCGCGCCCGGGCTCGTTTTGATGGGCTCGACCAGGGCTATCATATGGTGTAGTTTACAGGACTTTAATTATTGAACGCTGAAATTTCCTGAAAAGTTGATTGTCTGTTCCAGCACTAACTGCCGACGTCTAGAGTCAAAATCCCAGCCTTCTACGACGACTAGTTCAGGAGTTATGACCTATTTAAATTTTTCAAGATGGCTGCTGAAGTGTCAAAGTTTATGTTTGACTGCCAATAACTCTGCTTCCAGAAATAGCAGGTGACCCGCGCTTCGACTATACTCCTTCACTTCTTCTATTCTTTCTGATATGAACGATTTCAGGACCCTGAAAAACTAAGCTCAAAAAAAGCCTGAATTTCTGTAGGTGGGTAAAAATCGATCTAATAATAGTATTGTCCAAAACCGCAACTCACCACGACCTCCACAAACAGAGCTATTACGTTTTAAAAATTTTCAAAATGGCCGCTGGTCCAGACAATAAATTGCTATTTTCGCCGTCTTTAAGCTGATTTGACCCGTGTTTGGGCTCGTTCAAAAGGTCTCGGTATCGAGCTTGCGTCTACATATATATTTTGGCTTTTTAAGCCCCGTTTAATTAAAATTTTTACAAAAGAAGATAAATTTTTTGGAAAATTTGATTTTTTTTTTGAAATAATACTAGTTTTTACGGAATTTATCGCGTATATTTAACTTTTTAATTACCCGACGTTTCGAGAGCTTTGCAGCACCCATGGTCACGGGAAGGACTGAGATGTTCAACGTCCAGCTGTCATAGTTAACCGCGGTTACCATAGATTAAAATTTAACTTTTGTTCCGATCTACACAGTATGAACTTATGGTATCATGGAGTCTTGCAGTTGTATGCTTGGGTTGGGATTTAATCTTATTTATTATAGGATCCCAAGCAGATGGTAGCACCCAGCCACTTCTCTATTGAAATTAGGATGTTTGTTGATTTCAATAGCCTCGCGAATCATCCTTGGAAGTAATCGGTGTTCTTTAACAAGGATTTGTGGTCTATCAAATCTGATGTAGTGACGGGGGCGATCCTGTACATGTTCACAGACTGCAGACTTCCCGGAGCGTCGATTCTTCACATAAGCTTTTTTTTTAAGTTGAATTTTGTTTTTTAAAATTCTACAAAAAATTACATACGTTATTATCAAGACCCTTATATTAATTATGTATTTTATAATTTGCTAATATCTATTGTAGGGGTAGCACATGTTAGCTAAAATTATTAAAATTTATAACTAAAAAAAAACTACTGACTAGAAAAATCCAAAAACTTATACATTTATTCCTTATGTTCTTCTTAACGCTATAATAAAATATAAATAAGGGGTCTTCGCTTTAGATTTAAAGTTAGTGAGATATCAATTTTTGTCAAAATTTAAAAGTTTTATATCTCGTTAACCACTTAACTTTAAATTGTTCTGAAAGCTGCTCTCGGCTCCCCTCCGCGCGTGCTAACAGAATCCGACTTCAAAAACAGCCGCACGACTCTGCTTCGAAAAACACGTGCCCACGTGGGACTTGTTTTTTTGGCTTTTTCTCGAAGACTGTGGCTCCGAGAAATCTCAATTTTTGCACAAAGGTGGGGGCCGCGAGTAGCTTCAGGGCTGCACTTTAAAAAACAGGGGTAAAAGCGATTAATCTCGCAGCGTTTCACTTAGAAGTTTTGCAAATTTTTGAAAAACACTTTTTTCACAATAACTCTTTCACAAAAACTCTAAACTCTTTTCACTATTTTGAACCGCGAGTCAAAGCGCAACTTTTGACGTATCACACATGAAAATCGGTTGCAAAAAACCTATTTTTCGGAATTTTTAAGCGCGGAGCGACTTAAAAACGTGGCGTTCGGGACGGCAACTGACACCGGACTCTGGGTTAGGTAAGGTTAGGTTAGGTTAGGTTAGGTTAGGTTAGGTTAGGTTAGGTTAGGTTAGGTTAGGTTAGGTTAGGTTAGGTTAGGTTAGGTTAGGTTAGGTTAGGTTAGGTTAGGTTATCTAGCCTTTTCCGTTAAAATTTACTTTTAAATAGTACAAATAACCGCCCCCCGTATTCCCATATAGTTTTCTTTGTAAATTTTCACATTTAAATATCAAATTTTCATAGTTTTCATCATTTTATAGTCTTAAATTCATCAAATTTTTAAACTTTTTTAAATTTTCGTTTATCTCGTTCTTTTTGCTCCTGTTAGGTCCGTATTATGTAGAAACTACCATCTGCACTCTAATTTCCTTCAGAAAACACACGAAATACGAAAAAAATCGACCCCCCACCCGACCTGTTTGTCTTACTTAAATAGACTTGTTGGAAATCTGTATCGATTTTTATTTTTATCGATTTTTTATTTACATCGATTTTTTTTATTTGTATTGATTTTATTATTTCTTGAACCTGTGAGTAAAAACACCTAGCTTCGACAAAAATAGACCACCCACCCTCCCGGTTTTCCCTCCTTAAGTAGACTTGTATTTTTATATTGTATAAAAGTATTAGTTGATCCTTATTTTTCCCCTTAATATGGCTCCATTAGATAAAGACATACCACGACTTCCTTGCGACGTTAGTAATATAAAAAATCTTGACACATACATAGAAGTTATCAATCAGTTGCCCACATGTATCTCTAACGCGGTAAACGAGGGAAAAAGCGTCACAGCTGTTAACAAGCGCCTTATAAATCTGGCAGCTGAAGAAATCCGAAGAGCCTCAAACAGCCTTTCCACTGTATTATCAGCGAAAGCTTCACATTTCGAGGAACAGTCTTTGAAAAATGATATTTTAACCAGCGTTAGAGAGGAAATCAAAAAGCTTAAAGAAGTGCTAACTCCCACTTCCAATGCGCCTGGCCCTACGTACGCGGAAGTGGCATCTATTGCCCCAAAAAAACCAGCAATTGTTATCAAATCTACAAACCCTACAGCAAAATCTTCCGACATTCTCGCTACCTGGAAAAAGAACATCTCATTTAAGAAAGAAAAATATGCACCTGTTAAAATGCAAACAATATCAAATGGGAAAATTCGCGTAGATTTTGAAAACTACAAGCAATGCGAGGAAGCCATTACCAAAACTAATCAGGTTGAAGGGTTACAAGCCGAAGAGTCAAAAAATAGAAGTCCTCTTATTATTCTTAAAGGAATTACAAAAGAAACGGCAAAAGAAGAACTAATTGAAATTATCTCCTACCAAAATTTGATCCCTGAGGACGCATTACGTCTTTGTTTCCTTACTTCAAATAAGAATAACGCTTTATACAATGCAGTTTTAGAAGTGACACCTAAATACTACACAACTATTACCACATACGGACGAGTAGCCATTAATCATCAACGAGTGTTTTTCGGGCCTTTCTCGAGATTTGTTCAATGCCATCTGTGTTTACAATTTGGACATACAAAAACGAAATGTGCCATAACAATTCACCCATGCGCGTTTTGTGCCTCAGAAGACCACAATATTATGGACTGCCCAAACAGAACCTCTGACGAAAAACGAAAGTGCTACAACTGCCACAAACATAATTTGAAGACCAACCCCAATGCCGACATTAGACATAAAGCAACAAATGTAAAACTGTGCCCTAGAATCATCTCTATTAAAAAGAAATTAGAGGAATCTACTGATTATGGACTTACAAACTGATCACCAAATGAATAAGTATCAGAGCAAGAGTAACATATCTGAACAGAGCAATAAAATACATCTCAATAATAATTGCAATAAAACGTTTAATAATGGCATTAGATTCATCCAATGCAATTTGGGCCGAGGATATAATGCCCAACAAGAATTATTGGCATATTTTCGCTCAAATAGTGTACAAGTAGTCTTTATAAATGAACCATATATCGGAAATAATACAATTATGAACAAAACACCCGGCTACACAACATACCAATTTCCTCATAACCGTCATGTAAAGGCTAGCATTCTGATTAAAGAAGGTCTTGGCAGCTGCCTCGGGATTTCAAAATATTCAACGCCAAATTTATGTATAGTACAGCTCATCACTTCTGGGAAAAGAATATTTCTAACTAGCATTTACGTAGAGCCCAAAGACGATGAAAATGAAACATTGAACCACTTGGAACAATTTATAATTGAAACAGGAGACGCCATTCATATTATCGCGGGAGACCTAAATGGCTGGCACCAACTTTGGGGATCTCCCACAGCGAATAAAAGAGGTAAAGAGTTGATATTATTATTCCACACAATCTTACCATCTATAATACTGGCACAGATCATACATATGAAACTACAGCGGATGAAATTCTACGTGGTTCCATCGTTGATCTCACCATAACTTCATCCTCAATCTCGAATCATATTATTAATTGGCAAATAGATAATTCTATATGTCCCTCCTCTGATCACCATGGTATCAAATTTAAATATTTCCTTAATAAAAATCATATCCGTTAGAATAAGAAAAAATCGACTTACCAATATAATACTAATAATTTTAAGCAATGGGAAAAACTAAGCGAAGCCTTTTCCAGAGAAATTGAACTGACCCAACTTAACAAAATTGACATCCTATCCTTAGACCCAAATAACTTACTAAACTTTATTGATGAAATAACCGCGTTTATTCACAAAATTTGTAAAAAGTATCTTCCCCACTCTTCTATTCGTCCTGAGCGCCCTTCTTGGTGGACCGAAGACTTAGAAAAATTAAAAAGAAAAGTTCTTGACAACCATCACCTGCTTCAAAAACTTAGTCGAAAACGTCTTCCAATGAACGAAGCAATTACAAACAAGACCCAACTCCGAAAGGAATACGCCGAAGCAATCAGAAAGGCCTCAACTGAAAACTTCCGCGAATTCTGCAACAAACAAGGTAGGGCAGATGTGTGGTCAGTTACAAATAGATTGCTGAAGAATTCAATCCCAACCCTACCACCTTCCACCCTCAAATTAGCACCAAACAAATATACTACTTCTTCTGAAGAAACAGCCCATATATTTCTTCAAAAATTTTATCCAGAGAACACCATTGACACATATAGTTCCCAAACAGTCACCCGACAAACCATAAAATTTCCACCGAATACAAATGATGATCCTCCATTTACTATTGATGAAGTCCTCCGTAACCTCAAGGATATGAACCCTCGAAAATCACCTGAACCAGATCACCTTACCTCCGACATATGCTTCTGTTTCACTCAAACATTTCCAGAACTAATAACGAATATCATGAATAGATTTATCAATATTCCCTAAACAGTGGAAACATGCGCAAGTAATTATTATTCCTAAGCCCAACAAACTTGACTATACTGAAATCTCAGCCTATCGCCCCATCGGACTGCTTAATGTATTTGGTAAACTCCTTGAAAAGTTGGTCATCAAACGACTAAATCATTTTATTTACACTAACAACAAATTCAATAGTAAACAATATGGGTTCAAGGAACAAAGGTCAACGACAGAAGCACTTAATAATATGATTACATTTGTTAGAAATTGTAAAATCAAGGGAGATCAAGTTGCCGCTGTTTCTTTGGATATTCAGGCGGCATTTGACAACGCCTGGTGGCCCGCTATTTTGCGTAGACTACATATAATTAATTGCCCCAAGAATATATACAAACTAATAACAAACTACCTCAGCGAGCGAACAGTTAGCATAAATTTCTCAAGCAGCAGTGCCAACAAAGCCATGAGTAGAGGATGCATCCAAGGTTCAGTTTGCGGTCCGACATTTTGGAACCTGATCTTGGATGAATTACTTGAAAAGGACTTGCCCGAAGGATGTCATATTCAAGCCTTTGCTGATGACGTTACGCTCATTGCTCACGACAAAGACCCCTTAAAGTTACTAAAGTTAATCACCATTTGGGGAGAGTCAGTTAAATTAAAATTTGGGCCTCAGAAAACCCAAGCAATTGCCTTCACAGGTAAAGCTGAGAAAATAAAAATATCAGTATCTGGCACTCCCATCAAATTGGAAAATTATATAAAAATTCTAGGCATCATTATAGATAAAAAAACTAAAATTCATTCAACATGTTCATCATATATTGGTCAAAACAAGAAGTATATATACAAATTATTAAAATATATCCGACCTACTTGGGGAATACAATCCGAAAATATTGAGATTATATATAAAAATGTCATTGAACCAATTATCTGTTACGCACCCAGCATATGGCACTCGGCATTAAAATATAAACATGTAAGAGACAAGCTGCTATCTCTGCAACGTGGTTTTGCTATAAAAATAATTAAAGGTTTTAGAACCGTAAATACCATCAATGCAATAGCACTGGCAAGACTGACTCCTATACACATTAAAATTAATGAACTGGCAATAATCGAAACAACGAAACTAACAGGCACAAGTAAATATCTTCCAACAGACATTAGTTTAGACACACCATCGAAACCAGAAGAACGATTACATCCTTAAAACTACTTTTACGGATTTTATCGCGTTTATTTTTTACTTTTTATTTTTATTTTTATTTTTAATTCCCGACGTTTCGGGCGCTTTCCAGCACCCATGGTCACGGGGGACTGAGATGACTGACGTCCCGATGTCATTGTTAAACCCGGAGTACCTTTAGCTTTTTTAATTATTGTTTATGGTCCGATCTATGCAAAATGAACTGACTATGTCCTGAGGTCTTGCAGTGGTATGCTTGAGAGGTGTCACAGACAAGATTGGCTATATCCTGAAGCGAGCTTCTATTAGAACATTCTACAAGCCGCCGAAGAAGATTAGTCAGTTCCTACCATCTGTCAAGTGTCATATTCCTCTACAAGATGCAGGAGTGTACAAGCTTGATTGTGAATGTGGTCTCTCTTATATAGGACAAACCAAAAGATCAATTAGGACCCGCGTAAAAGAACATATAGCTGATGTGAAGCATCAACGTTCCGGGAAGTCTGCAGTTTGTGATCATATCCTAGACGGCCCCAACCATTACATCAGATTTGATAGACCACAAATCCTCGCGAAAGAACACCGATTCCTACCAAGGATGATACGTGAGGCTATTGAAATTAAAAAACATCCTAATTTCAATAGAGAAGGAGGCTGGGTACTACCACCTGCTTGGGATCCTATAATCAATAAAATTAAAACTAAACCCAAGCATACCACTGCAAGACCTCAGGACATAGTCAGTTCATTTTGCATAGATCGGACCATAAACAATAATTAAAAAAGCTAAAGGTACTCCGGGTTTAACAATGACATCGGGACGTCAGTCATCTCAGTCCCCCGTGACCATGGGTGCTGGAAAGCGCCCGAAACGTCGGGAATTAAAAATAAAAATAAAAAGTAAAAAATAAACGCGATAAAATCCGTAAAAGTAGTTTTAATCATGTGCAATGTTCGCGTAAATATAAGAAATCATAACGATTACATCCATCTCGTCGCAAAATTATCCATTACCAAGAAGCCAATAACGCTCAAGAAGTCAATCAGATTCTCCTCGAAAATACTCATCACATCTACACAGATGCTAGTAGACACGACGAAAAGGTTGGGGGAGCTTTTGTTGTATATTGCCCAAATGGTAAAATTATAACTAAAAAACTAAAACTCCATAGTTCTTGCTCGGTGTTTCAAGCAGAGTTGAAAACCATAGAACAAGCTTGTGTGTGGCTTGCAGATAAACACATTCCGAATGCAGCTATTCTGACTGACAGCAAATCTGGACTACAAGAAATCAGTAACCCCAATAGTACAAATCATATAGTTACCAACATCCACAGAATGCTAGACAGCCACAGCTTATCAGTTAATTTCATTTGGGTCAAAGCCCACACAGGTATAGCTGGTAACGAAGCTGCTGACCTGGCAGCCAAAGCTGCAGCCACAAGCCATAACGTCCCTATTCTCACAAAATTTCCAATTAGCTTCGTAAGAAAACTTGCTCAACAAGATAGTAAAGTAGCTTCCGAACAATTTTACCAACATAACATGAAAGGTGAAATAACCAGAAAATGGCTCCCTACACTTACACACATACAAGAATTATACCAAGTCACAAAGCACTCATTCACACTAACACAAATTCTAACAGGTCACGGCTACCACAAAGAGTACCTTCATAGATTTAAAATAGTAGAAAATAACACATGTCCTTGCGACGACACTGCAGTACAGTCAATTTTCCGTTTACTTAATGATTGTCCAAAATTCCAAGATACACGTCTAGCCCATACGATAACTTGCACCAATCTTAAAGTACAACCCTTCTCCATTGAAGAAATTATTAAAAAGGAAAGCACATTTGAAACGTTTCTACACCATATTAATAGTATAATAAAAAGTCTTAAGAAATTTAACGGAACAGAATAATTTTGAACTCAAAACATGTAAAATAAATATTTATAAAACATCTCCAAGAATTCCCACAGCGCACAAATGTTCTGTATCAAATAGCAGAACGGCAAATGAACAACATTGCCAACTCCCACAAAAGTGCTGACATTTGTGGGGAAAAAAAAACCCAACCTAACCTAACCTAACCTAACCTAACCTAACCTAACCTAACCTAACCTAACCTAACCTAACCTTTTTTTTTTAACATGGGGAAATGCCTACGCATACCCGCCTCGCGGGGGGCAAGGACGGGTTATGTCGGACTCGCACCGACTAAAACCCCATGGTGTTCCACCTTTGTCGCATATTGGCAGGGCTACGGGAACGCTTTCGCACACATCCGCGGCCCTACTAGCGCCTGCCGCCCCATGGCAGCACCTCCTCGGGAGAGGAAAATTCCTCCCCGTTCTCCTTCCCAGGTAAGGCGCACCAGAACACATGGCGCGCCTTCCTCCACGGCCTCCAACTACGTCTGTGCAACAGACGCCCCCGCGTCCGATGCACAAAGGCCATGGGGCCAGGAAAAACGAGCACTTAGAAGTACTAGCCTTCCCGACCCCAGCGGCGGATCTGGTCTATGGCTCCGTCGCCAACCAAGATTCGGCTGCAGAGGTTAGGGAGAGCGGCGCCTCGCAATACCGACAATCCTCTCCCCCCGCAGCCCCACCACCACCGCATCAACGGTGCGGCCCCGTTTGAGTCGCGAAGGATAGGGCGAGTGGCGCATCGCCATACCAACACTCCTCTGCCTCCGCGACTCCACCTCGGCTGCAGCGGTAGAGGGTGCGCGAGTCCCCACTCGCTGCAGTCCACCAGCACACATCTGAAGTGGGCTCCCCAAGCCCACTCGGAGCGGCCACCTCAGGCCGGCCCTTCACCTCGGGCCAGCCACGTGGGTTCCTCTTTGTTCACCGTGGGAGACCAAACCACGGATACTAAGCCCCCTCGCCACAAGGCGGGAACCCGTTCGGGGGGGAACCTAACCTAACCTAACCTAACCTCGGAGATCATTAGGACCATATATATTGCAGTAGTAGAGCCCATTGTTATGTATGCGGCTAGTGCATGGGTACCAGCAACTAACAAACTAAAAGTGAAAAAGAAGCTCGACTTGGTACAACGCGGATTTGTCCAAAAGATAATAAAATCGTATAGAACGGTATCACTGCACTCGGCCCTACTACTCGCTGGGCTGCTTCCATTGGACATAAGAGTTCAGGAAGCAGCCTCGCTTTATGTTATAAAGAAAGGCTGTTCCCGACGAGTAGTAGGAGATCGAGAAGTAGAGAGCAAAATTAAATATTCGGAGTCCCCACATCCCGCGGAACAGGTCGAACTGAAATTTACATGCCTGGAAGACGGTGCAAAAATAGAACGGAACGACAACAAGGGCCTAAAAATTTTTACAGATGGCAGTAAAATTGAGGGGAAAGTCGGTGCGGCGTTATCTATATGGAATGACGCTGCAGAGACTAGTACCCGAAAATTGAAACTTGAAAATTTTTGCACCGTCTACCAGGCAGAATTGCTGGCTATCTTAGAAGCAACTAGATATGTATTAAAGACACTAATACTAAACTGCAATATATACAGTGATTCAAGATCTGCTCTCCAAACAATTGTCCAAGACGTTTCCCTCCATCCCCTAGCGGTTGAAGCAAGAAATAATATAGTCAAAATAAACGGGCAAGGAAAAACAATTAACCTTTTTTGGGTGAAAGCTCACGCTGGGTTGGAGGGAAATGAGAGAGCAGACAAATTAGCGAAAGAAGCCGCCACAAAAATTAAGAGAAAACCGGACTATGAAAAGTGTCCGATTTCATTCGTCAAGCGGCAAATCCGTTTGGAGTCACTTGACGAATGGAATCGGCGCTATACGGAAGGCGAAACAGCCTCAACAACGAAGGTCTTTTTCCCAGACGCAATTAAAGCCTACCACATAATTAAGAAAATCAACATGGACCCGATGACGGTTCAAATTATGACAGGACATGGGGGATTCTCTGAATATTTACATAGATTTAAGTGCAAAGAGAGCCCCGCATGTGCCTGTGATCTAACTAAAAATGAGAACATAACACATTTACTAATAGAATGTCCAATTTATAGTAGAGAAAGGTATGATATAGAAATAGACTTAGATGTAAAAATAAGTAATGAAAATATACATGAAATTATAGAAAATAAGCATATTAGAAATAAGTTTTTAAAATATTGTAAGCATATAGCAAGTAAAGTAGTTAATAAGAATAAATAGGAAATAAAAAGGAAACTGTAACATAATATACAAAAGTATACAATGTAAACAGTCCCATAAAAATGAATAGCAAATAGAGTAGAATAGACCTTAGAATTAATAGCTTATAAGAAAAGAATACTGTAACCTAATTATAAATAAATAAAAGATAAAAAACACAAAAGGTGAAAAAAGAAACACCACAATGATGAAAAAAGTCCCTGATCTCCACATGTCAGGGGAACTAGATTTAAAAAAAAAAGAAAAAAAAAACCTAACCTAACCTAACCTATTTTTTTTCGTGGGGAAATCCTCATGGATACCTTCCGCTGCAGGGGCAACATAAGGTTATGCCGGACTCCTACCGGCTAAAACCCCACGGTGGTCACCATCAGCGTATAAGAGGGGTCCCAGGATCTCCGTTCGGAACGCAACCGGGGAACCTAACCTAACCTAACCTAACCTAACCCAACCTAACCTAACCTAACCTAACCTAACCTAACCTAACCTAACCTAACATAACCTAACCTAACCTAACCTAACCTAACCTAACCTAACCTAACCTAACCTAACCTAACCTAACCTAACCTAACCTAACCTAACCTTACCTTTTTTTTCCTATTGTCTTACATTCTTAAGATCTACAAACTGATATGCTTACATGCGACATGCACTTACACGCTATATATATTTTTTTTGGCATCAATTTTATTTATCTTTTTTTTTGTTAATTAAACATAATAATTGTCGACCCACTTTGTGTTTTTATATATATATTTTTTTTTGTCCTCTTTTTTTTCCTTATGTAGTTATCAACATAATCTACATACTTAATGTATATGGCCTTACATGCTATGTTAATTTATTATATTACCAGATTTTCCTTTTTTTTCCCTTTTCCTTGTACTTAATGTCGTGGAGAGTGCTCCATCTTTAGCTGTTTGTGATATCTGTTGACAGGTCTTCCACAATAGCTTCGTCTCTGTTTCTAATTGCCATTTTCAGATTATATTCTTTGATTCTTTTCGTTGTCGCAGCCATTGCGCTCTCAATCAGCCTCCCAGTTGCATCGTCGCAATCGTCCGTGTAATAAACACAGCTTTCTGTGTGCCTGGACACTGCCACTACTGCGTGTTGGACGCTGTCATAAATTTTGAGCTTCTCTGTTGTTGTCCTCATTATGACCACTCTCCCGTATGTGAGACCTTGGGCCTCATGTACGGTTAAAATTCGCGACCCAGGACCCGAACCATATCCCTGGCTGGTAAGGGACTCCTTTTCTGCTTGCGTAAATACAAGATATAAGGTGTCGGGCAGGGTACCTGGTATGACGACTCCCGTGTACCTCTTCCTTTCTAGTGAGTGCACCTGAGATCTGGATGAGTAAATGCCACTGTAGATTTCATTCAGGGCATATGCCACATCCATCGGATTCCGGTGCGTACACAGGAGCTCTTGGCTGATAGTGGTCACGAGGCTTGGGCGAGTATATTGCATCGCAAAGAGGTTTTCCCTGTCGATATAAGGGAGTTGATTGATGTCACCAAAAAGCAGTATTTTTTCCGCTCCACTTAGCCGCATTGCCATTACTATGGCCCCGAAATGGTTCATGAGAGCTTCGTCGACTAAAAGTCGAGTACATCTTCCCTTTTGCCTTCTCATACCATTTACTAAAACTGAGGCCATAGTGCGCACTTTTGTTTTTGCGTCAGTGGCTATACGGTTGGCTAACTTTTCTCTAAGATCTTTAGCTGCTTCTGTTGTTGTTGTGACAATCAAATCATCCTCCGCATCGAATTGGTTTATAACCAAAGTTATTTTGCCACATCCCGGGACTCCATTGACCCAATTTATCTTCGGCACCGTCCAGTTTTCCCAAGAATCTCCCAATGCACAGGCTCCCGAGATGGTTTCCGCCATTTTTAGGATCCTGTCCTCTAGCATCACCCTGGTACAACGGGCGGTGACCACAATAGGGTCGTTGTCCCTGTCCCTGTCCCTAGGGCCCTGTCGTTCTGTCTCCTCCTCATCCAAGGCTACGAAGCCCGCTGACCCGCTATAAGCCGCTATGTGATGACCCATTTTACCTCTTATGACAGTAGATGTTTTGTTGTCATAAATTGCGGCCTCTGCTTCCTCGAGCTGCACCCCAAGGAACTCATGACTACCGAGGTGGAAACTTTGTAAGATATTCTTGCAAGTAGTTTGGTTCACCTCAAGAGTTGCTTTTATGAGGGCCTTAAACTCTAAGAAAGCGTTGATTATGTGGTCTTTAGGCTCGACCGCCGGTAGAAGTCTTGGAGGGCTGACACGTCCCGAACAGGGTCTAGTGTGGGTGGGTTTGGATTTCTTGAGTACTCTTGGAGGCTCTCTTATTAAGTTATCGGCTTGTCTTAACTTGCTCAACTTTCGCATTGCTCTTCCTGGAATGCTCTGGGCCGCTGCACTGATGGTTTTAATTAGTGCACTTACCCCGCTTTGTGACTCAGAACTTTTGCTAAGTTTTTCCCTGGCTGCGGCCTTTTCTTTGGCCGTTTTCAGTTGCAGGCGTTCTGAGCCACTAAGTGTCTCTGGATTTGCTACAAGATGTTGGGTTGCCTTTGTTGAGTCGTGATGTTTGAGGAAGCTCAGGTTTTCACCCCTATCCTCATACACGACTATTTCATGTTTGTTTGAGGCTTTTATGCAACCAATGTGGTCCATGACTTCACCTTTCTCATATAGGACCACCATGGCATCC